CCGGGCCGGAAAGTCCCGGTTGGGTAGGGGGATTTGGGCAATAAAGCCGACGTGAGCAGGATCACGGACCACAGTTGTCCGAGCCGGACCCGCGCAGAAATTGGCCGCAGCATGGGCGACAACAAAGGGGACAATATTGAGGACGACGCTGCGGCCTGTTGCGCCGCCACCGGTACGGCCCGACCGCCCGAGTTTCCCGGCCACCAGGGTCAGGTTGGCTACCGTGGCAGCCAGATACAGCTGGAACCTGGTCTTGACCCTGCCGAAATAGCGGGACTGGCGAATGCCCAACTGGACCAGTCGGGCCAACCGGTGTTCCACCACCACCCGGCGCACTCGATATTCGTCATAGTGAGTGCTCTGCTGCAACGCTCGGGCCTGCTGCAGCAGGGCTTCCTGGGGATGGACCAGCACCCGCCGCCCCCTGCTCCCCTTGGCTGCGATGCACTGGGACCGCAGTGGACATGTCCGACATTCGGCCCCGTCGAACTGGAAGGCCTGCAAGCGGTGGACCCGCCCCCTGCGGTCCGTCCGCTTTCCCGCCGGCACGATGGTGTGGGTAACCTGTCCCGCCGGACAGGTGCAACTGCCCGCGGTCAGGTCGATGACAAAGTCATCCTTGGGAAAGTGCTTCCGGTCGGGCCGTCCCGGCACTCTGGCCACCAACCGGCGTCCCGCATCGGCGAAGGCCTGCCTGGTATCGCCATCCCCATAGGCGGCGTCGCCCATGGCTTCCTCCACCGGCACACCGGTGTTGGCCTCGCTCTGCTCCACCAGTTCCAGCGATCCCCAGGTTGTCCGGAGCGTTGCCGGGCAATACCTCCACGGCGGTGATCAACTGGGAGTCGGTATCCACGACGATCGCCGCCTTGTGTCCGTCGAAGCGTCTGCTGCTGCTCTTGTGGCCGTGGCGCATCTCCGGGTCATGCACCGACATCATCCGGTCCCGGCTCACCCCGTCCTTGAGGCTCACTCCGTCATCGGTCCGCTCCACGTCCCCCGTTCGGGGCCGGGGGCAGGCTCTGGAGCAGCAACTGCCCCAGCAGTTCCGCCGCCGCCACTATCCTGCTGCCGCTCAGCGCTGTCCTCCGCCAACTCCCCCTGCGCCTGCCGCGACAACTCCAGCAACCGGTCGGCGTCAGCTACTATCAAGGACAGCAGCGCCGTCCGCGCCCGTTTGTCGCTCCAGTCGATGGCCGCCTCGCCCTTCACGCTGGAGCCAGGTATCTCTCATATTCCCGGGCCTTGGCCCATTCCCTGACCGGAGCTTGCTCCACTGCCGCCAGCGCCCGCAACAGCTTGACTATCCCGTCCGCCAACAGATTGTAGGTGTCCTTCACCGCGCCACGGCCCAGGATGTTGGTCGTGTCCAACGCCACCCGCATCCCCCGCCCTTTCAGATAGCCCGACTCCCGGGCCAAGCGCAGGCTGGACTCGAACACCTCCCGCACCTTGCCGTGCAGGATCAGCTGGGCGCGGAACACCTGCAGCGTGCTCTTGGCGAAGGGCCGGTCTTCCACCTCAATCCCCAGGCCACTTTCCACCGGAGGTCAAAGTCGGCCCGGGCCTTGGCCTCGGCGTCGCTCACCTTGTCGTGGGACTGGAGCAGCAGCGCCGTCGCCAGCAGGCTGGGCGGCACGCTGTCCCGGCCGTTGTCCCGGGCAGTAGAACTCGGCGAAATCCGCGTCCCGGAACAACCGGCCCCGCAGTGAGGCCAGCAGACCGTAGAAGGTGTCCCGCCCCACGTGGTCCAGGTACAACCGGTCCGCTTCCCAGAGGCCCCTCTGGTCTGATCGCTCTCCCAGCATACTCAGCCCTCGCTATCCTTGTTGACCCCAAGTATAGCTGACCACCCGGCTGAAGCCAGTTTCCGGCCAGATTTCTAGGGATGCGCTACGTCCTGGACGTTCCGGAGGGATTTACGGTGTGGCCGGCGGAACCGGAGTGGACCACTCCGGTCTACCGGGGACGGGGTGGGCCTCCCAAGCCCAGGCTCGTGGCCGGACAGCGGCGGACCATGGAGGAGCGCAGCGCTGAATTGCCGGAGGGTGCCTGGCGGGAGATTACGGTGGCGGAGGGAAGCCAGGGCCCCCGCAGCTACCTGTTCAGCGCCCAGCGGGTGCGGCCCAGCAGCCGGCGCAAGCCCGGTGAAATCCACTGGGCCGTCTACCGCCGGAACCTGGACGGCAGCGAACCGCGCTACTACCTGTCCAATGCTCCGGAGGATACACCGTTGGAGACCCTGGCCTACGTGGGCGGTTCCCGGTGGAGAATAGAAACGGAGTTCGAGACGGAAAAGAGCGACGTGGGACTGGACGAGTACGAGACCCGCACCTGGGCGGGATGGCATCACCACGTGGCCCTGTGTCTGCTGGGCGGGGCTTTTCTCCTGGGCCTGCAACAGGCTTGGGGGGAAAAAGATGCCCCGGATCACGAGACCGCAGGTCTACCGGGTGGTGCGGGAGATGCTGCCCCGGGAACGGTTCGGGCCGGCTGAACTGCTGCGGTGGCTGGAGCAGACGCAAGAATGCAACGAGCGAGCCAGTCGGTCTCACGCCAAGCGCCGGTACGCTTCGCGCTCATCTCGGAATATCCCCCTTGAACTGTCGTTGTAATACTAGCACCACATCCCTTCCGTTCCCGTTCATTTAGGAAGATATATTCTTCGAACCAAAGGGCAGCCACAAGGGCTGCCCCTACAAATTCTGCCCGTTCGCCTTCCTTTATTTGGTGCCTACCTTTAGACCCACAGCTAACTTGTGGGAATTGAACCCTAGCCAGTGCGGAAGTTGGCCCTGCGGAAGGCTTCGGCGTACTCACAGCCCGCTTCCGTACCTGCGTCTCGGGCGCGCTGGTACACGTAGTCCACGACTTCGCGCTCCGGGTGGTCGGCCACCTGGCTCTTGTGGGCCTGGACTGCGGCCAGCTTTACTTCCATAGTCTCGCCGATGTCGACGAAGGTGTCGGCCCGCTCAGTGCCCCAGAACAGGATGGTGCCCGTCTTGTGGGGTTCGAGGCCTTCTTCGCTCCACAGTTCGCCGAAGTGAAGATGGTCTCGGGCATAGGGGAAGACGGCGTCCAGAGCCACCTGTCCGGCTATGCGGTGGTCGCGGTGCCAGACCAAACTTCGCACGTAAGGCTCGGTGACCATCACTACCTCGGGGCGGAGGCGCCTTATTTCGCGGACCAACTGTTTACGGAACTCGCCGGTGTCTTCCAGTTCGCCGTCGGGGTAGCCGAGCTTGACCACTTCCTTGACCCCCAGCACTTCGGCGGCAGCCATCTGTTCCTGGTCCCGAGCGGCGGCCAGTTCGGCGGCGGTGATGCCGGGCTTGTCGGTGCCCTTGCCGCCGTCGGTGCAAACCACGTAAGAGACTTCTGCGCCCTGACCTATCCAGCGGGCCAGGGTGCCGCCGCACCAGATTTCCGCGTCATCAGGATGTGGGGTGACTACCAGTACTCGCTGAGGGGTTTCTTCCATGCAAGATCTCCTTTAACTGAACCCGTTTATCGACGGCCATGACTGGGAATTACTCCCAAAAGGGTGCCAGACCACGACTATCGCAAGCATTGATTTGAGGGCTGTGGGTTTGCAGTCCGGCGAGATAGCCTCCAGCCGGGCCCGGCCTTTGTCGACTTCGACGAGGCGATTGGCAAGTCCAGGTATTCGTGGATTTGTTCCCTGCTGGCTTGTAACTTTCCGGGACACGTATGCCGGTAAGAATAATAATACCTTCCGCAGCCTTCAGGTACAAGTGAAGCTGCTGGCGAGGAGGTACCTTAATTGAAGGAGTGTAAATGGACGTCGGGGTTGGGCGGAGAACTGCCAGCTACACGGTCAGTCGTGGTCGCGTTCGGTGAGGAGAGGCACTTCCACTTTGGGTTCTCCCAAGAGTGAGCCAGCCAGCAAACCGCCGGAAATAATTATTTTCATGGCGTCGTCTACGCTGATGTCGGTGAAGATCACGTCGGCGTAAGGCACCACTATGAGGAAGCCAGAGGAAGGTACAGGAGTAGTGGGGACGTAAACCGCCAGCATGTCCTCGCCGTCGGTCTCACCCAGGTAGGAAGTGATCAGACCAATGGCCTTGGAGCCTTGACGGGGGAATTCAACCAGGACGACACCACGATAGGGGCGATCATCGTTTTTGCCCAAGGTCTGCATAGCAGTACGCAAGGGGCTGTAGATGGTGCCCACACCGGGGATGCGCTCCACCAGCCAGTGGGCGCTGTTAATCATCTTCTGCCCCAAAACGTGAGTTGTGAACCAACCGGCAACGTACAGCAGCACCAACATGAGGAGCACACCCATGCCGGGATAGTGGGGTATAGGAAGGTAGTCCAACAATATCGTTTGCAGAATCGGATCAACGAGGTCGAAGATGAACTTCATGATCCAGATGGTGATGAAAAGGGGCAGAATTACCAACAGGCCGGCGGCAAGGGTAGCCTCAAAATGGATGAGCATTCTGCGTGGAAAGATTCTTCGCTGTTCTTGGGGGCCCGCCATCGTTTCTTTCCGTCCCTCTATGACCGGGATGACAATTGGGGGTACAGTTCCCCGAGGCCCGGTATTTTAATTACCGCGTCAACAGGACCGGAACTGCCTGTGGGAGAACACACGTCAACCAAGAGGAGCGTTTCTTGCTCCTCAATCAAGCTCAAAAGAGAGCAGGCTCGGCGCGAAATTGGGGAAGCTACGGCGCCCGGAATTGTTGCCTGGATTGGTTCAGGTCGTGCCGGAAGCAGACCTTTCTTTTGCCAGAGTCTCATAAACTCCAGCTATCTGTTCGGCCACCTTGTCCCAGCTCATATCCTCGGCCCGGCGGCGGGCGGCCAAACCCATGCTGTGCTGCAGGCTTTTGCTTGATATTAGCATCTCAAGGGAATTGGCGAAAGCTTCGGGACAACGCCAGGACTTGAGGTAGCCGGTGCTGCCATGCTGGACTACGGTGGAAAGGCCGCCAACGCGGGAGGCAACCACCGGAGTGCCGCACGCCATGGATTCCAGGGCGGCAAGGCCGAAACTTTCATAAAAGGAAGGAACGACACATACGTCGGCAGCGCTGTAATAGACCGGAAGCTCATCCTGAGGGACCCGACCCACGAAGTCTATAGATTCACCCACATCGAGCGTGTCGGCCAGTTCCCGGAGGCGATCCACCTCGCGGTCCTGCCCGTTGTCGTCGCCCACCACCAGTACGCGCACCGGTTCGCAGGTGTCCAGTTGGGCGGTGGTGCGTACCAGCAGTTCCACGCCTTTGAGGGACTCGATGCGGCCCACGTACAGGAGAACCTTGTCCCCGTTCAGGCCCAGCTGCTTGCGGGATTCTTCGCGGTCCAGGGGCCGGAAAGTGCCCAGGTCAACGCCACAGGGGGCGAGTTGGATGCGGTTGGCGTCCGCTCCGTAGAGACGCGCCATGGCATCCCGCTCGTGGGGACTGAAGGCAATGATGCGATCGGCGGAGGCGATCAGTTGTTCCTCCACTTCCTGCCGCTGCATGGGTTCCCGTTCACCGGGCCGGGACTGCATCTTGATGCGGGACAGGGTGTGGAAGGTGATGACGTGGGGAATATCCAGCCAGCGGCTGAAGGCCTGCCCCAACCAGCCAGAAAGCCAGTAGTGGGTATGGACCGCCCGGTAGGTGATCCCGTTGCGGCGGGTGAAGGCCTGCATTTTCTCCAGGAATTCGGGCAGCAAGCCGAAAAAGGAGTCCATAGGGGCGTCGGGCGCACCGGCGGGCAGGTGGATAACCCGCACATTGCCGGAGATGTCTTCTATCATCTCCGCCATATCCGCGCAGCCGGCGTCTTCACGGTATTCGCGGGTAAAGACGTCCACGGGCACACCAATATTGCCCAGGGACCGGGCCAGCTGCCGCACATAGACGTTCATGCCTCCGGCCTTGCCCTCGCCCGGGGCGGCCAGCGGGCTTGCGTGGAAAGATATGAAGGCTACTCTTGCTTCGTTCAACTGTGGTCCGCCGACGAGGGTTTGCTTACGACCATGCGGTAGATGGTGCGGTTGAGGCCGCCAAGATGGTACTTGTAAGGCTCCGGGCCGCGCAAGAAGTCGAAGTAGGCCTTTTTCTGCTCGATAGCTTCCCGAAGGCACAGGGCATTCAGCAACAGGCCGACGCTGTAGTAGGCGTATTCCGGATTATACCCGCTATTGTAAAGGAAACGGGTCCCGTTATAGTCGAAACAGAGTGCGGTGGCTACGTCCTTCCCGTCCATTTCCAGGAAGAAGAGGCGCAGCATGTCCAGTTCCGCGGTGCGCTCGGCCATCCGGCGGAAAAAGACCTCCCTTTCGGGGGTCATATAGGCGTCCTTTTCAGGGTCGCTCTGACGCATCAAGGACAGGAAGTCACCCAACCGGGGAATTACCTCATCCGGCTCGCTTACGCAGTACCAACGCCAGCCTTCCACTGCCTCCAGTCGACGGAGCTTTCGGCGCAGTTCGTGGCGGTTCTTCTTGGACAGACTGGACAGGTATTCGTCCCAGGTGACCGGCAGTTCCAGCCCAGGAGTTACGTCCTCCTCGGCTATCTCAACCGAATAGCCCTGCTCGCGGGCAAGGTCGGGCAGATATTCCAAAGTAGGAGAGCCTTCAATCAAGGAAGGAAGCTCAAATTCCTTCCAATCACCCTGGGACAGCCAATCCATCAGAGCGGAAAAGAAGTCCGCCTCCGAACCAGGGCGAATCATGAAGTCGTTGTAGTCGAAGGTCTCGGTGCTGCCCACGAAGGAGAGGTCGTCACCCTGGCGGGACAGGGAAGCAATGGCGGCGACACCTTCGGGCCGCTGCACATAGAAACCGGCCATTTCCCGCCCATCGCTAAAGGACTCCCACCAAACTTCCTGCCACTGGGGCATCAGATAAAAGGTGTTAACGGGACACTGGGCCAACAGGTCCAGCCATTCAGACTGGATTTCCTGGAATGAATTTAGAGGGGTTGCAGCCATGGTGGTCAAATCAGGAATCCCTCCGCAACAGGGCCAACAGACTGTTCCCGTCCCAGCGGCCATCGGGGAATTCGCCCCTGACGGCAGTGGTGACCACCCTCGCTCCTTGCTTCTGGATGCCGCGCATGGCCATGCAGAGATGTTCCGCTTCCAGTTCTACCGCCACACCCTGGGGTGTGAGGGCCGTCAGGATGGCGTCGGCAACTTGACCGGTCAAGCGTTCCTGTACCTGGGGACGGCGGCAGGCCAAGTCAAGGGAGCGGGCAAGCTTGCTGATGCCGGCGATGCGGCCGTTGGGGACGTAAGCCAAACTGGCGGAGCCAAAGAAGGGCAGAAGGTGGTGCTCGCACACGGAATAAAAGGAGACATTGCGCAGAATTACCGGGTCGGCGCTCTCCTCGTCAAAAACGGCGTCAATGGCATCTTTGGGGTCAAGGCCCACACCGGAGAAAAGTTCGCCGTACATACGAGCTACCCGCTGGGGGGTATCTCTCAGACCCTGGCGGGTCGGACTTTCTCCAATCGCTTCCAGAAGATCAGCGATGATATGTTCAATCCGTGGCTGAATAGTATTCTCCGCCCTTTGGCAAATTCTGTATGGTTACTTTATACGGGGGACAGGGTTGCCGCTTCTACGGCCTCCATGGTTGGCTCCACCTCGATGGTCTGGGCGGTGACGCTACTTACTGCGAGGTCGGGGTCCTTAAGACCGGTTCCGGTAATGATACATACTACACGCTGGTCGGCTAGATTCAACCCCTGATCTACCAGCTTCATCAGCCCGGCAACCGAGGCCGCCGAGGCCGGTTCGCCAAACAACCCTTCGCGGGAGGCCAGGAGACGGTAGGCTTCGAGGATCTCGTCGTCGCTGACCATGTCTATGGTGCCTCCGGACTGGTCCCGGGCCTTAATGGCCGGTTGCCAACTGGCCGGGTTGCCAATGCGTATGGCGGAAGCAATGGTCTGCGGGTTGGCAATAGGATAGCCATGGACTATGGGGGCGGCGCCAGCGGCCTGGAAACCCATCATATGCGGAAGAGTTTTGGTGCGTTCCAACTGGTGGTATTCGACGAATCCTTTCCAGTAGGCGGTAATGTTACCCGCGTTGCCAACCGGAATGAAGAGGTAGTCCGGGGCATCGCCCAAAACGTCGGCGACTTCAAAGGCTGCGGTCTTCTGACCTTCAATGCGATGGGGGTTAACGGAGTTGACCAGGGTAATGGGATGATTCTTCGTGAATTCTCTGACGAGGCTGAGGGCGACATCAAAATTGCCCTCCACCATTATTATCTTGGCTCCGTATGCCATAGCCTGGGCGAGTTTGCCCAGCGCCACCTCCCCTTGGGAATCAGGACATAGGCCTGGAGACCGAGGTAGGCGCTGTAGGCCGCTGCCGAGGCGCTGGTATTGCCGGTGGAGGCGCACATAATGCCAGCGGCGCCGTCTTCCACGGCTTTGGCAATGGCGACCACCATGCCTCGATCCTTGAAGGAACCGGTAGGATTGCAGCCTTCCAGCTTGAAGTAGAGTTCCTTGCAGCCCAACTCTTTGCCGAGATGGTTGGACTTTACCAGGGGCGTGTCTCCCTCCCCGAGGGAGAACATGGGGGTGTTCTCGGTAACGGGCAGGAACTCTTTGTATTTCTGCAGTACGCCTATGCCCATTCTATCGCAACTATCGAACGCAACCCCTGCGCCTGCTGAGTTGGCAAATGCCGCAGCCGGAGACCTTCTTATCCAAGAAGGCGGCTTAAGCCCATTATTCCCGGATTCCGGCCTTCGCCGAAATGACGAGTTGGGGCTGTCTACCTGCCTTGCCAGCCACCGGCAACCCTATTCTTCTATGCGCAAGAGGCTGTTGATTTCCTGCACTACCTCCAGATTTTCGGCCAACTCCAGGGACTTCTGCACCGAAGACTCCCGAGCCGGATGGGTGGTGATAACGATTTCAGCGGTCTTGGCTGCCGGATCAGCGTCCTTCTGGAGAACCGAAGCGATGCTGATGTTCTGCTCACCGAGGATACGCGCTATCTGGGCCAGCACCCCGGGCCGGTCGGCAATGTTGAGCCGGAGGAAAGTACTTGCACTCCAGGTCGTCGATGGACTTAAGACCGCCGGCATTATCCAGGGCCACCGAAGGAAGAGAAGTCGACTTTGAACCCAGGTTCCGGGCTATCTCAATCAAGTCGCCCACCACGGCGCTGGTGGTTGGCCCCCGTCCGGCGCCCCGACCGTGAAAGAGCACCTGTCCGCAGAGGTTGCCCTCCACTTCCACCGCATTATACACCCCATCTACCTTGGCTAACATATTATCCTGAGGAATCAGGGCCGGATACACCCGGGCCTGTATTGCGCCGTCCTCCATGGTAGCGATGGCCAGGGACTTGATGGCGTAGCCCAGTTCGTGGGCGTAGCGAAAGTCCTGGGCTTGCAGTCGGGTGATGCCTTCGCGGTAAATGGCCTGGGGGGGCACCCGACGGTGGAAAGCCAGGCCGGCCAGTATCGACAGCTTGTAAACGGCGTCGTAACCCTCAATGTCGTTGGTGGGGTCGGCCTCGGCGTAACCCTGTTCCTGGGCTTCGGCCAGGGCCAGGGAGAAGTCGGTGTGGTCGTTGGCCATGCGGGTGAGGATGTAGTTGGTAGTACCGTTGATTATGCTGCGGACGGAACGGAACCGGTTGGCCGCCAGTTCCTTAACCAGGCAGCCGATTATGGGAATACCGCCACCGACGCTGGCTTCGTAGAGCAGGTTTACGCCCTTGCGCCGGCCAGGGAAAGCAGTTCGGGCCCCCGCTTGGCCATCACTTCCTTGTTGGCGGTTACGACGTGCTTGCCAGCCAGCAGGGCGCCTTCCAGGTACTGGGCGGCAGGGCTTTCGCCACCAATAACCTCGACCACTAGTGGAATATCGGGGTCGGCCAGGATATCCTCGGGGTTGGTCGTAATCAGGTGGTCCGGAATGTCAACGTCCCGCTTTTTTGAAGGGTCACGGACCAGGACTTTTTAAGGTTAACCGTGCGGCCGACCTTGCCGGCCATGGCGTCGGAATGTTCCAGAAGGGCAGCAGCGACGCCACCGCCGACCACGCCAAGGCCCAGAAGGCCAACATTTATGATGCTATCGTCGTCCAAGTGACTCATAAGCCGGTTTCAGATTCCTGCCTGCGCCGGAATGACGGGGGTTACCTTACCCTAGGGGAACCCGGGGCCACCAACGGGCGGGCCACCCTGGGGGACTCGCGGGGCCGACAGATGCACCTGGTCGGCAACCCAGGCATATAGGTCGCTGTCGAACTTGATCTTCAGCCAGCCTTCATCGGAGCCACGGGAGACCTGGTCATCGAACCACTGGTCAACCCGCTGCTGGGCGAGCTTGCTGCGAATGCGGAGTTCCCGGGTCAGGGATTCGCGATCCTCGGAGGTGAGGGCTTCTATTTCTGAGCTTCCCAAGCCAATAAGGTCTTCAAATCCTCGCAGCTTGCGCTCCTCCGGACCGGACAGCATGTGGACTATATATACCCCTTCCTGGGTGAAAAGGGGATCGCTGATTTCGCCTTCCGCAATGGGTGCACGATTGCGGTCGGGATTCCCAAAAATGGTATCGTCGAGTTCGGGGAAGGCTTGCTGAGGCACCCAGCCCACGTAGCCCTGGGAATCGGTGAAGCCGTCGGGGACATTGACCTCAGCGGCCACCAGACCGAAGTCCTCGCGAATCAGGCGTTCGCGTACCTGCTGCGGGTCAGCGGCGCCGTCCTGTTCCATCCGAATCCACTCCACCTCCACCTGCTCCAGAGGACTCGGGATGTTGCTATCTATAACTACCGAGAGCTGACTGCGCAGTATCTCCTCTTCCACGAGCCGCCTATACTCGTCTTCAGATAGCTTTGTGGTAGTGAGGAAATTGGTCAGCGCATTATCGTATTCCTGGTCTAGCTGACCCTCGTCGACCTGCTGTCCTTCGGGCGGCTGGGGACGGAAGCGGCGGCGCAGTTCCTCGTCGATATTCTCTTCGGTGACGCTGAAGCCCAGGCCCGGAGCGGCCTGGCGCAGAATTTCGGCCTGGATCATGTCCTGAAGGTACTCAAAGGGCACGGTGCTAAGGTCAACTCGGCCGCCCTGATAACGGTTGATACCCTGCAGAACCCTGATGCGGTCCACCAGATCGCCCATAGTGAAACGGACGTCCCGCACCTGACCGGCAAGCACACGGGGCGGCCGGTAAAATTCGACAAAGTAGCCCACGGCGACGATGCCCATAACCACCAGGACAAGGGCCACACCGATACCAATAGCGATTTTCTGCCGACGACGCTCCTGGACACGCCTTTCGGACTGCCTTTGGGCGTCCTCCGACGTCTGCTGCCTACGGCGGCGCCGACGGTCGCCTGGCACCTGGGGAATAGATTCTTCCGGGGACCGGGGAAAGACCATCCTTGACTCCAGGGAAATTCGATAGATTTCGCCCGCTCCACAAACCTACCCCTGGAAGGAGGCAGGCAGGGGAATCGGGCGGTGTTTCCTAACAAAAGCCGAGCTTTCCAAAAGGAAAGCTCAACCGATTACAGTGAATGTGTCATCCATAGCCGCAGACTAGCGGCGGATACCACTACGGATCGTCTGCACGGGAACGAAGGGCAGCAGGGCCAAGTGGCGGGCACGCTTGATGGCGTTGCTCATAGCCCGCTGGTGCTTGGCGCAAACACCGCTCTTGCGACGGGGCTCTATCTTGGCCCGATCGGAGACAAAGCGGCGGAGGCGCTCGTAGTCCTTGTAATCAATATCCTTGACGTGTTCCACGCAGAAGGAACACACGCGCCGGCGGGGCGCATAGCGTCCCCGGGGCCGGCCGCCGGGTCGGGCTCCACCGGCCGGGCGCGGGCCGCGGTTCTGGTAGCCACCCTGGGGTCCGCCAGGGCGCGGGCTGTAGCCGGTACCCGACGGGGCAGGACGGCTCTGACCATCCGGGGCCGATGCCGGGGCCGGGGCCAGGGTTGAGGGCGTTGCCGGTGCGGGCGCGGGTGAAGGTGTTGTCATGCCGGTTTGTTCCTCCGCTATTAATTACGATAATTGCCGGATTCCGGTTTGGCGGAATCCAGACCTAGAAAGGCAAGTCGTCTATGTCGTCGGGCGGGCTGTATCCACCGCCCACGCCGCGGCCTCCGCCCATGCCACCGCCGGGGCTGGTGGGTGCGTTGTACTCACCCATGCCGCCACCGGTATCACCGGCGTAGGGAGCGCGGTCGTCGTCCATGCCGCCGCCTCGGGAGCCGAGCATCTGCATTTCGGTCATTCTTACATCGTTGGAAACCCGCGGCTGACCGTCATTGCCCGTGAATATTCGCGTAGTCAGGGTGCCTTCCACATAAACCTGGCTGCCACGGGTAAGGTACTGGTTGCAAATCTCGGCCTGTCGCCCCCACGCGTTGATGTTGAACCACATGGTCTCTTCCCGCTGCTCACCATCGGCCGTGCGATACCGCCGGTTGGAAGCAACGCTAAAGGACGTTACGCCCTGTCCGCTGGGGGTGTAGCGCATTTCGGGGTCGCGACCCAAATTGCCTATTACAATGATCTTGTGCAAAGGAGCCTGCCTATGCCTGTTCTTCTTCCGACGAAGCCTGTTCTGCCGGGGCTTCTTCTGCCGGGGTTTCTGGAGCCTCGGCGGGTGTTTCGGCCTCGGCTGTAGGAGTTTCTTCCACTTCAGCCACGGTTTCAACTGGCGGGGCTTCGGATTCTGCTTCGGCTACCGACTCCGACACTGTCTCGGTCTCCGACACCGCCTCGGTTTCGGTTGCGGCCTCGGCTACCGGCTCAGCCGCTGCTTCCTCTGCCGGAGCCTCGGCTACGGCTTCCGTCGCTTCCGCTGGGCTGGCTTCGGCCTCGGTGGCGGGCGCCTCAGCGGTTTCCGCTACGGCTACCGGAGCATCTCCGGTTGCAGCGCCTTCAGCAGGGGCCGCCGCTGCCTCTCCCTCTTCAGCTGGCCGGGTTGCCGTTGCGGCAACCGGGGCTGGCCGGGATGCCGCAGGATCGGGCAGAATCTCCCGGTTTGGAATAGAAAGCACCAGGGAACGCAACACCCTTTCATCGAACTTAAGGAAGCTTTCAAGGGCCTGGTTGAAAGGGGCTTCCGTGGAAAACCGGATCAGGCGGTAGTTGCCTTCCAGAAAGTGGTGAGAGCCCTGCTGAATGGGATAGGCCAGCCGACGAGTACCCCAGGGCTGTTCCTGGAAGATATCGCCGTTCCGGTTGGTGATGAAGTCGTTAATCTGTCCCCAAGCCTCAGTAGCCTGATCCTGGCTGAGCATGGGGCTGAGGATGGTAACTAGCTCGTAATGACGCAAAAAACTCTCCTAACTATTTTGGCCTGCCACTATTGGTCCGTAAATGGCCCGCAAGTGGCCCGCAAGGAATTTTGACGGGATTATAACATTGGCGGGTTTACCGCTCAACTAGGAATCCAGCCCTGGTACGGGGAAACCTGAGGTCAATTCCTTGACCGCTCCCTTAACCTGCTCCATGACCTGCTCATCGCCCATATTGTTGAGCACCCTGGAAATCAGGCGGGAAACCTCTTTGGTCTCGGGCTCGCCGAAGCCCCGGCTGGTAATGGCCGGAGTGCCCAGGCGCATTCCGCTGGCCACCCGCGGCGGCTTGGGGTGCGAAGGGAATGGCGTTCTGTTGGTGATGATGCCCACCGACTCCAGGGGCCGTTCGGCCTGCTGGCCGGTAATGTCCATGGGACTAAGGTCCACCAGGATAAGATGGTTCTCGGTGGACGCCGGAGACCAAACGCAACCCCGGCCTCGGAAACCTCGGTAGCCATGGTAGCGGCGTTGGCAACCAACTGCTGGGCGCGTTAGCGGGACAAAGTCGGGCTTTGAGGGCCTCGCCGAAGCAGACGCGGCCTTGGCCGCGATGACGTGCATCAGCGGACCGCCCTGCATATAAGGAAAGACAGCAAAGTCTATCTTGCGGGCCGATGTCCGACGTTGAAAGGATGAATCCGCCCGAGGGCCCGCAGGCTTTCTGGGTGGGGAGAGCACCACGTGAGCGTGGGGGAAGGGCGAAGGGGGGCCCGCCGGCAATCAGTCCAGCAATGTGCGCCATGTCCACCATCAGGTAGGATCCACCGAGTCGGCATGGCACGGAAGGAAAAGGGGGAAGTCGAGAATCTTGGGTATGCGCTGCAGCCGGCCACGATCAGCTTGGGCTTGTGTCCTTGGCCAGCCGCTCAAACCTCGTCGTAGCGATATGCTCAAGTCTCCCGTCCACGCCGTGTAGGAGACGAAAGTGTAGAGCTTGCCGGAGAAGTTGACCCCGGCACGCACGTGGGTGAGGTGGCGCCGTGGGACAGTTCCATGCCATGACGGTTGTGTTCGGGTCTCAGCAGGGCGAAGTAGAGTAACGGCCATGTTGGCCTGGGCGCCGCTGTGGGGCTGACGTTGGCGTGCTCGGCGCGAACAAACTTTGGCCCGGTCGATGCCAGGGACTCGACCCGACGTCGACGTGCTCGCAGCCGCATAGTAGCGCGGCGGCGCGTGCCCTCGGCGCCGTAATTGTTGTTCATCACGTGGTCTGGGCTCAAGGACCCGCCTGCTGGCGTAGTTCTCGGAAGCAATGAGGGACGACACAGTCGCGCTGCGCCGGTCTTCCAGTTCAATGGCGCGAGCGACATCGGTCTGCTGGGAAAGCAGGGGACATGACAAAAGCCTACCTTTTCAAGAGCAATAAAAAAGCCGGCACAGTCGGCCGCAAACCGGAAGGGGAGGCTAGGAGGGCCAAACCTCGGGGCCGGCCGTGCCGCACCGCAGGCCAAGACAGTCGGATTCAGTATACCGCTGGGAGTTGGGGCCGTGTTAGTCTCTCGGGTCGGTCTCTCGTCGGTCTCGTTCGTTTCTCATTTTCGTCAATTCGTCTCTCTCGTCGGTTCATCGGGTCTCTTCAACGGTTAGGGTCTTTTCATCCTTCAACGTAATCTTCTCTAAGTCTTCAATGTCTCTCAGGGTGTTTCGGTTCGTTCAGGGTCGTCTTACATTCTCGGGTCGCGTCTCATCAAGGTCCTCGGTCCGGGGTGGGGTTCTTCGTCATCAGGTCGTCGGTCGGTCAAGTCGGGGTTCGTCTCATCGTTTCATATTCTCGCTGTTCATCAAGGGTCGGCGGTCGGCGGGTCAGTCGTCTCGGTCCGTTTCAATCTGGCGGGGTCAGGGGTCGGGTCCAGTCATCAATCGTCTTCGGTCTATAGGTTCCTCGTATATCGGTCGTCATAAAGGGGGTCTCATCGTAGTGGTCTATCTAGGTCAGTTTCGTCAGGCTTATGAAGTTTTTTTTGTCTGTCGTCAGTCGGGGTTTTATCTATTTCTAAGTTCTTCGTCTCTCTCTGTTCGTTTCGGGGGGGGTCATCGTTCGTCAGGGTCTCGGTTTTCTATTTCTTCTCAAATCAATCGGTGTTCATCTCTCCTCTCGTTCAAGTTCTTCAAGGGGGGGTGGGGTTCTCGGCTTCTCAAAGGTCGGCGGGTTCAGGTCTCCACAAGTTTTGTTGCACTGGTCGTGGTCTTGGGGTTCTGTCTTCGGTCTCTGTTTCGTGGGTTTTCAGTATTTTCTTCTGGCTCGTCTCGGTCATGTCGGGGGCTTAGTAGGGGTGGTATTTTCTCTCAAAGTCTAGATTCATTCTCGTCAGGTCCATTGGGGTCGTCGTCGGTGTTCTCAGTGTCTCTCCAAGGGTCTAAATCATCTCGGTCAACTCTTCAGTCTCCGCTCAGTCGGTCGTGCTCCCACTTTTCTAGGTCATGGCTACAATCATCAGTCCGGCGTGGTATTCTCGGCGATCATCTAGTCATGTCAAGGGTATGGTGTCGGGTCTCAAACTCTAATAAAGTCGGTCGTCTGCTCTTCGTCTTAAAGTTAAAACGTCAGGTCATTCAGGGGTGGTCAAGTTCGTTTTCGTTTACGTATCGTATTCGGTCAATGCAGTTATATCATAAGGTAAGTCCTAATATGAAATATCATATTCGTCGGTCGGTACGTCAAGTATAGTCACAATAGGGGGTGGGTAAATATAAAAATAAGTATAGTTGTAGTTATTAAATAAGTGAATATTAAAGTGATAATAGTAAAAGTTAGTGTAGGTAGTCTGTTATTTTGAAAAAGTTCTATAAGTTAAAATTATTTAGTAAAGTGTTCTAGCAAGGTCGGGTAATTATGTTATAAGTAATCGTCAGTAGGTAAAGGGTATTAGGTAGGAGGAGGCGTATAATAGGTAAAGTATCTAGTATAAGTATTCATATATAGAATGGTCTAGGATGATATACGTAGTATTATTAAATCGTAAGTCATAGTCCATAGGAATATTAGGTTAGGGATATAGGAAAGGGAGGAAAATAGAGAGTATAAGGGTAGTTAAAGATGCATACCGTTGGGTTATGAGTATATATATTATCTTTAAATAATCTAATGATAGTAGGTATCAGGTTAGGTACGGTAGTCAGTTATGTCGTCCACGTAATTTATATATATAGTCAGTGTCATCCTCGGTCGTCAAAGTCTCTCGTCTCACTCTCGTTCAATAGTCTCAGGTGGTATCACGTCACATAGGGGGTCGTCGGGGGTGTCTCGTCTCGCGTTTCTTTCTGGGTTCATTATGTTCTACTCGGGGGGTTCGGGTGGGTTAGTAGTATTGTATATATCTAGTTTTTGGTTCGCCATCTCAGGGTTATCGGTCGGGGTAGGGGTTCAGAAGGAGTCACTCGTTCAGTCATCAGGGCGTGCGGTCAGGTCATATTCTCTACATCC